ACCCCTGCGTCCCGTTCACCTTTGACCTATTAATAATCTCCAGATGTCAGTATGTCATATGTTGTTAGCATAATTAAACTTCCGGCATTGACCCAGCGATCTTGCATATCCTCCGGGGATCAATATGAAGACTGATCAATTTCGAACAGTGACAGGTCATAAATGATGTCCTGAGGTGCATATTTAACTCTCACATCTGGCAGTATTGACCACATGCGGGCATCCGGCCACATTCCATCACAGGGTGTGTTATGGTCTCTCCCCTCTCTCTCTACGGGATGTGAGAAAAAGAAGATTCTAATGATGAACAAACAATATCAAAATAAGTAAAAGAATAAACCATTTTAAGAGACCAAAGCATATTATGGACCCCAACTATGCTCTCTCTCTCTCTCTCTCTCTCACACACACACACACACACACACACATTCAATTGTCTGAGTAAAAGGATCTTATTCTCTTCTTTTAAATGAAATGAATACAAATAAATTGTAATCACACACAAAATAAAACAAAGCAAATACAAATACAAATACACTATTTTTAGGTGTCACTAAAAATATAAAAACATCTTACATTTTTCCAGGAGCAGGAAAAAGAGTTTGTCATGTAAGAAAAAGTTCTATGTTCCATGTTTTATGGAAGCTTTCCATAGACATAATGATTATAATGCTGTATCAACCCCTAAACCTATCCATCACAGTAAACTTTCTGCATTTTGATATTTTTAAAAACATAATTTAGCATAATTTATCATTTAAAAAGCTGTTATGCTCAAGGAGACAAATTTCGCTCATGTCAATCATTGATGTTTTACTACACAACAAGGGGTAGATGAACCACACACACACACACACACACACACACTCACATCTGGTTTGTGGGGACATTTTTTTACGGTAAAAACTGTACACCTATCCATCAAACAAAAATGTCTGCATTTTTATATTTTTCTATGTTTGTAAGCAATCTTAATTATGAGTACTCAAGAAATGTCATCATAAACCATATTTACATTGTTATATCAGAGTAATATCCGTGTCATTATACAAATGTGTGTCCTGATAAATAATATAATCAAGCACACAAATACATAAACATTTCAAGCTGAAAAGAGGCTTATCTCTAATTTAAAGAATATGGTAATAAATAAAAACATCTAATTAATGTGACAGCATAGTAACAAACATTAAAGCAACTAAAGCACTATAGCAAAGCAAATCATTTATCATACATTTTAAACATGTATTCAACATTTATGTAAGCTTATTAAACTTATAAATCACATCATTCTCTTCTTACGTTTTTATTTTTTAGTAGTTACCTTGCTGTCTATGGAGGGTCAGAACGTTCTCAAATCTCATCAAAAATATCTTAATTTGTGTTCTGAAGATGAATGAAGGACGTACGGGTTTGGAACGACATAAGGGTGAGTAATTAATTACAGAATTTTCCTTTTTGGGTGAACTATCCCTTTAACTGCCCCTTCCCCTCTCAACGATATCTCTATCGATATCATGACGTAAGACTCGGAAAAGAGGTTGGACTATACTGACTGTCCAATGACTAGGCTTTCAGCACCCTTTGCCTGGAGTTTGATTGACAGGCAATCTAACCAATCTTAATGCTGAATCCACCATTTTGTCTGACGAACAAATCAGGAAAGTTAATAGATTTAAGTCAGTAGAGTTGAACATGAAAATGGTGTATTGACATCTTTCCACGGTTGAGACAACATACCTTCTGATGTTCATTCATGTATATTTCATGCTATAACTATCAGTT